GGAGGTGCTTCCACAGGGTCTTGTTCAGTTTCAGATGCTCTTTCTGTCCTCTGGGATGAGCATTTTGCCCAAAGCACAAAGGAGCTGTGGGGACAAAGCCATTCACACCCAACACCAGTGGGTCAGGTCAGAGCAGCAGATCAGCCCTTTGACACTACAGACTTCAAGAAAAATGCAGCTAGTCTCACAAGGCAGCACTGAGACACAGCCCTGCCAGCTCCCACTGCCCACCACGGACACACTCAGAGCCTAATCCAACACCCACCCACCTAACTCCAGTGTCCCATTGCAGGCATCGCTCCCAGAATTGGGTCTCGGGTTCCCTTTGGGGAGTAACAAGTAACCTGAAGGGTCTTCTGAGCATAGGAAACAGCCAAATAGGTTGGGAGGGGAGAAATACTTACACACTCAATGAAATGAGCAAGAGCCCAGCTGTTTTGCACTGCACAGCTGACTGAAGAGCAGTTACAGAGAAACCAGCTCATCAGAGGTCTGTCAGAAGAACTATGTACAAAACCTCAGATTGAGAAAGAACTTATGTTTTCATTACTCACTTGATATCTCTTGGTATTAAAGCATCCAAGGCTGGAATCACAGCCACATCTGCACAGATCTCCCCACGGAGGGCCCTGCATGGTAGGCAAGCTGCAACAGGGAGTACAAAACAGGAGCACAAGACTTGTAAGAAGGAGAACCTAGCCAGAACGGCTGTGGCCGCGGGGAGAGAGCAGGTAACTAGCACACAGAAATCCAAATTGAGTATGAACAAAACCAACACGATTTGTTTGACCTTTATGTGTGTCCAGGGTTTGAGGCTCAGTTTTAGAACGCTTAACCTAAACATATTTCCGAGATTTCAGCAGGCTATACAAATATGTTTAAGTATGGCTTTCTGTTGTTCACTTTTAATGAAGACTGCAACACAGACCTTGCTTCCTTTACATTCAATACCAGTAAGATTCTACATAAAAGCATTTAAGGGACTAAAATACTGATTGCAATAAATATCTGCATGGCCTCCTTGAGCTGATGGAGCGCGCCAGTGAAGAGTAGCAGAAAGGTCTCTGAGAGGCACCGTTGATTGCTTCTAAGTCTACACATATGTCCACGTATCTCCATTAACTGTGCGTTGAAACATCTGAAGAGGAACTGCTGTTGCTGTTGGTGGTCTGGGCCCTCTTTATGTACAAGTTTAGTAGCTTCATCTGAAAGAAACAAACAAACATCAGAAGATGCCAGGAAAAACAGGTGCCCAAAAGTCGACTGCAAATCATAAACTTCGCGTTCTGCAGTGAAGAGTGAGCTGACACCAGGCTCTCTGGAGGAACAGGAGAAGCAAAGCTGAGCGCTATCTCAGAACAGAGGCAGGAGAGTATGCCTAGTCCCACTGAAGTTACAGACAGATTTAATGTGATTTAGAAAAACCTCTTGCATTTCACTTCAGCAGCCATCAGTTCACAGACCTGCAGCATGCTCAGGGGAAGCAGCATTCCCACAGGGGTCAGTGGGGCTGCAGGCACACTAGCGATCTGAGAGCCACAGTCCCTTCTAGGAAACACCCTGAACTCTCCGTGCTTTATAAAATGTTCATTTTCAATGACATTCAAATATCTTCACTAACTTGGTACATCTAGCGAAACTGCAGCTGTTATGACTATATACTTCCTTTTCATGGGTTTGTTTTGTTTTTCTGCCTTACCACCTTAGCTCTAGATCCTGCAATGACTCATGCACACGTTTTAACTTTAAACATGTAGGCAGTCTGCATAAACCCAGAAGAATTACTCACATGTTTATAGTTAGTTATGTGGTGGAATAAGTCCATGGCACCTAGGATACTGTGATAATAAAGTGTCTACAATGTTTTATAGGGGGATTTCCAAACTGCCCGAATATAATGAGGTAAACCTCAGCACCCATAGCTGTCTTTCCAGAGCAATTCAGAGGCACAAGTAATCTGTTTAAGGACAAGGCAACTCAATTCAGAAATAAAATCCAAGTGTCCTCAGTCTTGGGTTATTTTGGCGTACACCACACTTCCTACTCATGAAAGAAATTGTTGCTTCAAAATAACAGAATGAAGCCCTCTGAACAAAGCAGCTATTCACATGCAGAGATCTATTTCAGAAACAAAACTGAAGGATTCATCTTAAAATTGCAGGAGAAGAAATCTTGTGACACCTTCCTGAGCAGCACTGAAAAGCAACCAAACACCACCTGCCTCAACATAAGATACCAGCTCCTGTCTGAAGGACAGAGCTGAATTAAGGACTTGATTTCCCTTGCAGCATCAGGTCAGAATTTGAGTTTTGTTGCTAACCTGACTTCAAGGCACAAATCCTTCAAAAGGTCACTGGAGCTTGCTGGTGTCCCAGGAGGAAAGGGACACATCTGCCATCCTGTTAAGAGTGAAGCTTTACTTGCGTTTCCACCAGCCCTAATCAGAACGTGCTGCTGAAAGGACCTGCTCTCCCATCCATCCCAGCCATGCATTCCCACCACTCTTTGCACTAGATTACCCGTGCAGCCTCACAGCAGACTGAAAGCTAATTAATTTCTATTGCAGATCTGTTTTTCAGCCAGAACAGTCAGCTGATCCAACCCGCTGCACAGTCACCCCTGGATGCCATGCCGAAGGGGCAGGGTAAACATGGCTGTAGTGGGAAGGACCCGCTCTGTGGCAGCTTGCAGTTACACAGGATCAAACGTGTCATGAAACCAATCCCTGAACCCCATCAAAACTTGCTCAGTGAGATTTCAAATGCTCACACTACTGAGCAAGTGCTGTGCTGCTCTAGTATTTTTCGGCAAGGTGAGATAGGATTTAACAGAGTACAGGGAACTCAATCCAGAGCTACTGTGAAGCTGTGGTCTTGCTGCTAGTAGTGTGAGCTCTTCAGCTGGCTGTTACCACAACACCAGAGACGCATTACTCTTGTACCTTGCTTCCTGTGAGTTGTGCGAGATGAGGTTTCAGTTCTTCTCCAATTACTGAATAAATTGCCACCAGGCAAAATACACTAGCTTTACGGACGCTGCTCTCCGTATTATCATAACCCTAGGAAACAAGAAAAAGAAAAGGTCTGAAGTCAAACAGCACTGACCAACATCCTTCCATAGCAATATATAAAAGAGCTGATAAACGTTTTGCACATATGGCTGACCTAACAGATCAATAAAGTCCCTGCTTAACGTAACAGTTTGCAACCTGAATACTCAAGGAGCAAGAGAATACAATCACCTAGTACATCTTATTCGTTCCTTACATTGTTAGTTATTACTATCATATTGTAAGTTATTAGTATTTTGTTATTTTAGCATTAAGCAACAACATGCAGTTTCCCAACATGAGCTTAGGACTCTATAAAATACACATATTCCTGTGTTCAGTTGAGACGACCATATGCTATCCTGGATGGCCAGCACTTCTTGGAGGAGAGCCCTTGTGCTTCCAGCTTGCCTTCAGAAAAGTCTTTCCTGACCCAAATCTAACCCAAGAATAGCTCTATTCAGGCATTAGAAACTGCAAAAATCAGTCACCATGGATGTTTTCCAACTCTTTAAAAGCACTGGGCTTAAACACTGTGTATAACAGTGCTACATGCATATGCTAGTCCATCAGATGAAATCTGTAACCTGGAGCTTTTCGATTACTTATGAGGTAAGAAGTACCACCGAAAAGAACACTTTGAAAGATCCCTGTAGGTGTGCAGATCTCTGGCAGCTTCAGGAGAGCTCAAGCTAGCCACCAGGTCACTCAGCAGCTGGTGATACCAGTCCTGTACTCAGGCAGTGATTCATCACTAAGTAGCCATCCCATGAGAAACACAGACATCGCTTCAGCCTGCGGGATGCTGGCTCCTCCAGATGCAGGGTGACCTCTGCCGGGAACACCAGGAGGAGGGATGTAGCACAGCTGGGGCTGTTCTAGCTGCGGGACCAAAATACAGCCTGGGATTGCCAACTGTCATCCCAAAGAGTGCTGAACTAGAAAAGCAGGAGATCTAGGTGAGCTGGGAGAAATATCAAGCTATAGAGGACAGGTGGAAAAAAGGCCGAGACCAGGCCGACAGCAGAGGAACATACACAGAGACACAAGCCACTGCTGGGAGGACAGATGGGACACAGGGCACACTCTGTGGGTCCCAACAACTCTCTGTGGCTCCTGAACTCATCAGATGCCTTTGCTTGACCTCAAGTTTCCCTATGGGCCTGGCATTTTGCTTCTGTGTGCATCCCAAACTGCAACCATGGGGGCCGGCAGATCTGTGCAGTGTTGAGGTCTGAGAGGGCTGCATCCCAGTGGGTGCTGGGCTGGTAGAGCCTGCCCCATATGTGCCAACAGGAGCATCGCCCCACCTCTCCATCTGCCAACTCGACTGCAAGGCAGTGGCTGCTGCTTCTCCTGGCATTTAATAACACAGCCCAACAGTTACTGCACTTGCTCAGGAGATCATACGGGCTCAAAGTTCTCTTCAGCCTGAGGGTATTGAGATTTAGCGCATGGGAGAGTGCCTTGTGGTCCAGCTCTATTCCCCCAGCTCCAAGGGAGCCAAGGCTGCACATCAGGACCAGGGCAAGCACCATGACTCTCCCCAGCGAAGCTCTATTCTTGCATGGGGATCCCCATCTGTTCAAGGGGGTCATGGGGATCCCACTCCAGGCTGTTGAGCTGCACACTTGTGCTCACACTGCTGCTGTCCAACACTTTGGGCCTCTTCATCACTCTGCCAGTACCCTTGGCATGGTAAACAAGCACACAGATGATTCCTTCATGCAGAGTTCTTTGGCCAGAAGGATCCCAAAATACTTCCCAAATGTGAGGTGTAGATTCCTTAGATTACTATGAGTTTCTAAGATAAGGAAATATCGCTGGCAGCTCCAAGACGAAAAATGGCAAACTAGGCTCCGAAACTAGATCCATTTTAAGACACGGAAGCAATTTAATAAAACAAATATAACTGTATTTTTAAAGGCATGCTGCTCCCAAACTTTTCCAGTGCACTGAAGCTCCACTGTTCAGATTGTTGCCTCCAACAAGTATGACTTTTTACAACAAAAGTTCAGATCAATACAGAATTGTCTGATTCCCAGAAGTTGAAATTTAAGAAAAGAATTGCAAAAGCTGACACTACAAAGTTGAGATGAATACTGGGATGCACAAGGGAAATTTCTGACTTTACTCTTTTCCTTTCAACTTTTTATGCTCACAATAAGGAGGCTTCTTTATCCCATTTCTCCACTGAAGTCTTACCCACCCAAACATGTCTCCTCTTTCACATTAACTGATTTGTTCCTGTCACAATCCCTCCCCAGTAAACACACGCACTCCCTCTCCTCTCTTGCTGCTACCTTCCCTTGTTTACTTCTTGCTTGCAGCCTCATCCCAGCCGCTGGCACTGCCAGCTGCTTCTGCTGGGGAATATAAGACAACACCGCTACAGTCGGCGCTGAAACCTAAATTCGCAAGGTAAGGCCAAGCACTGGCAAAAACACACCTCCCCACCCAGCCTGAGAAGGCTTTGAAAGAGGCTGAATGAAGTCAGGAAGTAGTTCAGTTCTGATTTTGGAAATGAAAGAGGAAAGGACGAGCCTGCCTGCTTGGACTCAAATTCAAGTGCAAAGTACAACCAAAGCGCCGAACAGCTCGGCAGAATTAAAGCAGACTGCAAGATGCATTACTCGGGAGGAACCGAGACAGCGTAAGATGTGGCTAACTCCTAATCTCAAATTTATTACATGGCTATTACTGGACTATTTAGGAGTCAGGCCAAGGCATCTAATTATGGAACATACACACAGAAATCTGAGTTTTCTTTTCCTTAACATTAAAAACATCAAAAGCTCAAATATAAAAACTTAGAAGGATTAAAACTTTAATTTACTAAAACCTGGCCCCAGAGGGTCCATCATTCTCTTACATCACAGACCTTACAAATTACTCAATCATGGTTTGTGCTCAGGAGCATGTGTGACATGGGATTCTGTACCTGTAACAACCCAGGAATGATATCAGGAAGAAGCTGATGCAATGATTCCTTGGAAATCCTCTCAATGACTTTTGTCTGCATTTTGATGGCAGCTAAATTAATTGGATAATCTGCAGTCTGAATGATGGGGCAAAGTACTTTGATGCATTGCTCGGGGTGGATGGAACTCGCCAGGGTGGAAGCAGCTTCTTCAGCAGCTCTGACGACCTGGAATGAAAGCAGAGCAAAACCTTACGTTAATGAGGTCACAACATCACAGCCAAAACCACCAGTGTGTACTAGGAATAACTGCCAGGAAACGCTTGGGGATGTTAATTAACAAATCCGCAGGAGGCTCTATTGAGAGATGGTTGACTCTGAGAATTCACATCCTTCACCTCCAGTAACATCTTCATTCCAGCCAGTGCTAAAGAAGTCCATCCTGCCTAATGTAACTGTCAAAGTTGTGGCTAGTTTGAAAAAGTCATCTGTCACCCAAGACAGATAGTCACCCTCATCCTAGGAGAAGCAAGAGGACGACATCTCTCCAGTCACTGTCCAAGAACCTAAATTCACCAGCTTAGGCTTCACACAAAATTTATCTCCTTGAATATTATAATGAATGACACCGTCGCACATTTTAGTATGCATCTCACCTGCTGAGTGCTTGGGTGCCAAGCTGGGACAGCCATGCCTACACAGATGTGCCCTGCCATTTCCCAGCTAAACTATCCTGTAATCAAACCCAGGCTACAGACACAAACAGGCTTCAGGGTGTCCCTGACCAGGTAGCTGTGCCCTCAGCACATCTAACTCGTTAAGGCAGCACTTGGGATCACTATAAAACATGGGAGGCAGAACAAGTGGAAACAGTGGTAGCAACCACCTTTTGCAACTAGCCCACACTGTAAAGCAGTCACGCAAGGCAAGGGAGATCCCAAATTCAATGCCACTCTTAGCCTGAGGGAAGGCAAATCCACAACTTTCATACTCTTCCCCAGCGGGTAAGACAGCTAGCTGAAAAAGGAAAGACCCGATTCTGGTCTCACCTCCCATGAGAGTTTATTCATTTTACATTCTGCAGTAATTGGATAAAAAAAAAAACAGACAGGATGGGAAGGAAGGTTTTCTTTTTTCAAGTGTCTTTGCTAATTACCAGGCAACAAAGCAAAGCTTCCCTTGGTTGCACTCTTCCTGGCCACAAATCACACACTCTTTGCTCCCATGTTCTTGTTTTGGTACAAAAGATGGAGGAGGCTTTTGCTCATCTTTTCTCACTCCCTTCTTCTCAGGGCTTACTTTTAAGGGAGGGTAGATCCTGAGTGGACAGACTCAAATCCAACACCACAACTCTAGGAAGAAAGAATAATTCACAAGTCTTCATGCTTAGGATCTCCCAGCTAGACCCAGGCAGTCCCTAGCTCCAAGCCTAGTAGCACTAAGCCTTTGAAGGCATCCCCTCTTTCCTGACTGAGAGCAGCTCGGATGCCTAGCACCAGTTCTCTAGCTCCTGCTAAGCCGAACTACCTGGGATTATCTGAAGTCAATACTTTCAAACCAGCACTAGGAAATCAAATAAATCAAACCTAGACTGAAGCCATAGCTGCTGGATTCTCCTCACTCGCCCCTTCCACACACTGTCATGGTATCAAACTCTGGGATTTCTATTTTACTAAGGCAACCGATGGACAGACATAACTCTCTCAAAGCCTCAAAAGAAGGTAAGCTTTCATTATTTTTAAGTAACTACTGTGGATAACGCATGAAATAGGCATATTTGGAAGCTTACCTCAGTCCTTACTAGGACAAGAATGTCTCCCTGCCTGGACTATAAAACCTACAAAGGTTTAATTGATTTTAAGATAGCAGCAGTGAACAGTGACCAGAAGAGATCGCCTCCATCTACAAAGACCGCTTCACCCACAGTCTTAGCATCATGGCCACACCACTATTATTAATCTTCCAGTCATGCTGAAAGCTACCTCCCTGAAACAGAAATGGCCACAGGATACTTGTATACCCAGGAAATAATAAAACTCATCCACTTGGCTCTTGGCGTCCTCTACAGTAAACCCAACAGTGAAAGTGATCTCAGATACTTCACACAGTACAAATGTTGCATGCAGGCAAGGCACAGGCAGGATGGTGAAGCAGACCCGAGACCTTGACTGCTTCTGTATCAGTGCCCTATATACAGAACAAAAGCTGTCAAACTGCTTTATTTACTTCAGGCCTTTCTCAGCAATTAATCATAATATTAAAACATATTCCAAAAAGAATGTCAATCCACAATGTGGTCAGTATTCAAAAAATTTCATCCTCAAAGATCTGTGAATGAGTAACCAAACAGAAAAGCATGCTTGTTTTCCCGCTTCCAGCTATTCCTTTGTGAATTCCTCTTCCATTTCACACATGAGAAGCATGAAAGTTAATGTTTTTCCTCATAAGCCAGCACTAGCTTAGAAAGAAGCCCTATGTGATTTTGTTGAGAAAGGAGAGAAACACCTGAGTCCTTAAGGGAAACCTACTGCCACGCTTTGATACCACAGCGTTGAACTACTGGAGTGAATGAAGTCAGGAGCTCCCAGGAGGTCTCCTTTAAAGGAATTCACTACTTGGAACCCCAGCTTTTGACATTGGTTTTCCAGTGCTGAAACATCGCTACCATCAAGCTTTCCACAAACAATGCAGCAGACTTAGAGAGAGCCCAGTTATCTTGCAATCAGTTGTAACAACACTCACAAGCAAGTCACTTTGGCTAAAAAAAACACCCCACCAACTATAACTATTTGGACACAGGCCACTTGGGATTTTGCTTTGCAACAATTCCAAATAGTGTTAGTAAATGTTTTCAGATGCCTTCAGAAAGAAAAGCTTGCATATATATCACAACTAACAACAACAACAAAAAAATTAAATTATTTTGGGTGGGTTTTTTTGTTTGGTTGTTTTTTTAACCTTAAATCCTCCTGGTATCCTACTTGATAAGAAAACGAAGGTATTTTAGTATGCACCTAGAGTCAGACTCTGATATCAAATACACTACTGTAAACTCCAAACAGTACTGGAGTAGGTAAAAATGTCAATGTGCAATTCTATCTGGGATTCAGCTCCACATCTTCCCTGCATACAGTTTACCATGCACATTAAGTTGCAGGTATAAGGCAAGTACACAAACCAAAATCTTTTTTAAAAGCCTGTTAATCAATTCCAAGCACAAGGGATTAAAACACAGCTGTAATTTTTCACTAAACAAACCAGGGCTCAAATAGCAACAAAAGTCATACATATTTTGCACGTCATAAGGTCAGCAAGAAGAGTCACAGAGGTGCAGGATCTATTTACACCCCTGCAAGTCTTCCTTTCAGCAAAGCTGCCCATTTCTAGCAAGGATCTGGCTGCATTTACACAGCAGTTGAGTATTTCACATCACTTCTCCCTGAAGTGCCTTCCCTCTGAATACAGAAGGACATATTACACGTGTCCAGTAGGCGTCCTGCTGATATTAGCTTGTAAATGTGACAACACCAGGGAGACTTCCAAGTCTTCCGAGAGCACATCTGGCAGACAGCATCTGCCTCTAAGCCACACTTCAGCAAACCCCTTAAGCGCGTGTTGAACTTTAATAACGTGCTGGTGTCTCGCTGACGTCAATGGGATTTCAAGCGTGTGCTTACACGCTTGCTTGAATCAGAGCCTCTGCAGGTAGCTAGCTCCCAGCTCCCTTGGAAAGGGCTGGCAGGGCACAGGGTGTAGGAAGAGGCAGGGCAGTATCAGCTGAGAGTGAGGCCAAAGAGACAACCTCATCCCTGCCAGCATAGAAAGCTGAATGCCACCATTCTGCAATGCAAGTGCCAAAAAGTCTTTCCTTCTGGCTTTGGCAGAACAAAACATTCAGCCACTCAGACCAACTCCGCATCCCACAAGGGAAAGCACATCTCTGAACACTTACACAGCACTCTGACTCCTTCTCACCTGGTAACACCAGAGAAAGCAGCAGCATTCCCATATAGAAGGAAGTGCATTATCAAAAGATACAAACTTCCAGGACATTTGGCAACAAGAACATGCAATTATAGCAGTTTAGCAAAGATATTTTGCTGCGAGGAACAACACTTGCGTCTTGCAAATTATATATTAACATACAATATCAAAAAAACAAGTATCTTTTTTAATCAGAACTTTAACCTGAGCAGCAGAGTGAAATAACCTTAAAAAGAGTGGGAGAAACGAGTAAAGAGCATTAAGCAACAGGTTGCCCTCCCATCTTCGGAGGCAAGATCAACATACACACCGGGAAGTGACAGGAATGGCTCATACTAACCACAGACACCACAAGAAGTAGTGGCTATGAAATGCATCCATTGGGTTTGAGAAAAAGAAATGGTGCTGTTTGCTACATGCTCAGACTGAGGAGCTCATTGTCACAAGAAGATTAAAAATTAGACAAGTTTACTGAAGAAAAAAAAAAACAAAGATCAAAATATACAGAGGGGCAGGCAGAACCATTATCATGGGAAGGCTTCAGACTGCTGGAAAGACGGAGAATATCCTCAGGGAAGCTTCATTGTATGCATGTTTCTTGCTAGCTACTGTCAGGTAGCGTATCAAGTAAACCAAACTTTTTGTCTGACCTAATGTAATTATTCTCAGTGATCTCAGAAATATGAAACAAAACTAGCAAAGTGATCAAATGACGATGGCAGCTGGAAGAAGCCAGTTCAAAAGGGTGGCTATGAAGCAATATGTGCAAGACTAGAGAGAGCCTGCAGAGTTTTTAATAAAACACAGACACTAAGCTGTGTGTAAGGTATGTCACAAACATGATTTTACCTTCCAGTAAAAGCTCAGAGCAAACCATGGCTTGAACTGGATAGTTTGATACCATTCAACACAGGGCAAGTAGCCCAGGAATGCAGATCTAAAAGATAGCACTTTGCCTTAAAGAAGCAGGTTTTTCTCCTTTTCAAATGCTTACCTTATGCTCTACACGCTAGAGACTAGATTCAGCCTGACTTCTGCTGGCGTAACATAAGCTGTGTTTGCTGGGTGGGTTCCTTGAAAGACATAGGTGGTGTATGAAGACCTTTCCAGTGAGTCTCCCAAAAAGAGAGAGATGGTTATACTTCCATCCAGTTTGCTTTAGGGAAGGGACCATCTTCACATGTATAAACCCTGAGAGGTGTAGCACACAGACAGGCTGTTCACCTCCAACAATGTCTTCCTTA